ATAATGATTAATGAACAGTTAGATGTAATTAAATAGTTAATAATAATGGTATAACATTAGCATCTACTACTACGACGGACGCTGTTATAAATAGCTTTACTTACCGAAATCCACGACGGCTGCAATAGAGAACATAAGGTGCACTGTACACTTCCAAGTCTTCAAATAAAAAATGATTCACTTAAAGTAAAATTGTGTTTAATATTTGATAAAAAAATAAAGGAAGGAGAAAATGTTGATAGTTGAATGGCTAATCAAAGGTGATAGTGTTACTATTTAAGCAGATAATAATAATAACAGGATTATATACTTCATTTAATTCAATATTTGTCATATAATTAAATTGATAAAAAAATTGCATCATAATTATATAATTTGAAATATTACACTGACAACATTTATCGACAGTTGCATAATTGAGAATTAACAAAACTTCACATCTGATTTTTTATGTCCTGTAATGATGTGTGTAAATCACAAATAATGTGGTCTGTGACATAAATGTAAATACTTGTTTGAACCGAGGTTTACAGACCTCGTGTTTGAATAACACTCAGATCAGAGACAACTCTGCTCAGATTAAGAAGGAGACATTCTTCTGAGTGACGAACAACATAACCCCACTTCAGAAAACCACAGAATAACTAAATTCAGAAAAATCTTTTATCTGTTCTATGCACTACGTAGTCCGTAGCAGAGTCCGTAGTGTTGGCTACATTCCCTCACCACATTATTATTTCAATTTGTCTTGTTGTTTTTTCGACTTCGACCATTATTACTTTTTAGTTACGCAGGCACAACACGGTTGGGCGTGTTTTTTATTCGGCAGTAAATCTGTAACGCAGCGCACTTCTGCTCTGCATGACGACATGGTTGCAGGCAGCTGCTAGCTGCGTTAAACGTTAAACTACAAGAACGATTTTCATGTAAAATAAAAACTTGGTCTGCTATTTGTCATTTCATTGATCTGTGTACTAACCCCATAGACATAACTAACCCTATCTATAAATCCCCAAAAAGAAAAATATATGATTTTAATCATTATTGCTCATTGTAAAAAAAACTACTTTATTTTAATAATAAACAAAAACAGATACAGTACGGTCAAGATGTCGAGAAGTTTGTATTTCTGCGTGCAGGCAGCGCATCTGCCGTGTAACAAAAGAACGCCAAGCGAATTTGCAATTACTGAAATAAATTAACGGACAACTGGTATCCTTGCAGAATAAAAAACACGCCCATTATATTGCTAATATCGGGAGTGTTGAGTGTTGCTTGTAAAGTTGTGAAATTCCAGCCTAATCAAAGAAGGAATATCGAACGTTGAGAAGAGTGGGAGTCGTTAGAGCTGAGAACCGCATGTGACTGTACTGCTAGCGTTTAATGAACGGGTATGTCATGGCAGAACAGTTGATCAGGTTTAAATCAGGTTTCCGGGAACCTGAACTGAGAACCAGTTCATCAAAATTCGAACTAGCTTAGGTCGAACTAGTAATGAGAACTATCGAATAATTCGATAGTTCGTGTTCGTACGTACTCTAATAATTCGATTGTTGAATTACGAATGAATGAATTTAAAAATGTTATACATACTTAAGAATGGAAGTTATGAATATGCATTGAGGGAGACGATATTTTATTCATAGATAAGAGACATCAATTTATGATGTGATACGATAAAGGTAAACATTAAAATAAACAAAACGCAACTGCCAACTAACTGATGACGTGACTGATACAAGGCTATGTCGGTTCTGACACAGAACAGGATTCTGATTCTAAAGACCCATTTTTTATCAAACTCAGCAGCATTAATTACCAAGTTAAGAATTCAGATGATGTTTTCTAGAAGAATGAATTTATTCGATAGATGGAATCATTTATTCAGTAATTATTCGATGGTTCAAATCATTCAATAGTGCCCATCACTAGTTTGACCCAATGCGTGCATAATACATACTGTGATAATCACAGAACAGAAAAAGAGTGATAATGTTGTTGTGTGGTGGCAGCACTGTGCGCAATCGACAACTACTGACGTCTCGCTCGATTCTTTGGGATTTGGAAGATTGAACTTTTAATTTTATATTACTTTTACCAGAGACAACCTCTGCTTTTACCACAGAATTCTCTGATTTTGTGCCTTTACTTTACACTTCATTATACCAGAGACAACTCTGATTATACCACAGTATAGATTATACTGTGTCGTAGTGGTCGCACTTTGCAGTTATATATTTATCTATGGGCAGTTGACACTATACATAGGTAGCTGGCAGTGTTGGCTTTACTTTATGTATGTTTTATAAGACTAATTTTAATTTTTTAGTCAAATTAATATTAGTGTCTATTTTTTATTAATAAAATGCGTCCAGGAATTAAAAAATCTATTGTTTGGAACTATTTCGAGAAAAAGGCAGGATAAAACAGCTATATGCAGTATATGCGAAAAAGTGTTGAAATATTTTGGAAGTACAACTAATTTGATGCAACATTTATTAAGAATTCATCCCATTCAATTTCAACAAGATAAAGAACATCCACATAAATTTGAGGTCAAAAATGAAAACATCTTATCAGAAACTACAGGTAATTCTTCATATATAAACAATAATAATACCCCGCTAAAATCCATTTCCGTTTTTTCTCAGTAACCGGAATGTTCCAAATATTCCAATAATCGAATGACCGATTATTTTTCATCCGAATGACCCCATCTACTCGTATTTTCAATACCCACTTTGTCGAGGCGAGTTTAAAAGTAGGGTTAGGTCACAGCCGGTTTTAACGTTTAAATAAAATGATTTTAATTGTCGTGTGTTTTCATCGTTCAAAATGTCTGAAGAGGTAATTATCAATGATGAAGTTCTTCTATAGAATATAAGTATGTAAATGTGGCTTCATGGTCGAGTGGTAAGGGCACTTGCCTGTCACCTAGGAGTCCCGGTCGAGATTATAAGATTTTTTCTAAACCAGGAATTAATCCTAATATACCCGGACATTGGGCGTGTGTCCACTGGCTCTAAATATGTAACCTCTCCCACACAACCCAGTAAAAACCAAAGTACGGACTGGGTTTATCTGGCCTTTACTGGAAATGTTGGCCGAATGAAGGCCCATAATTTGGTGTTTACTGGGAAGGTACCTTTAGGGATACAGGGGGTTGTGTTATCTGTGGTGGTTAATTAAAAAAATAATAAATTATGAACCACTGTACAAAAAAAAGTAACTCTGGTTACAAGTACTTCAAAAAATAAGGCAATCGTTTTCCAAAAATCTAAAACTTCCAAACCATTGTAAATAAAAATTTTCAACTTTTTTCATAAAATATAATATGTATTATTATTGTCATCTGAATATTAAAAAAACCATGTATTAAAATCTACATTTATATTTGATAGTTGCTACAGTCTCTCTTAGAGAGAAATATAGAAGAAAAATTGCCATCGAAAATACGTTTTCAAGAAGCGGTGCTGGTTTAAATATTAGGCCTCATTGGCCCCTAATGAGTTTCTTCAAGTTCATGAATGAAGATACAGGCAGAGAGTAAGTGCTATTTATTATTTGTTATTATTAATGGTAGCTCAGTGGTTAGCATATCTAACTAGTATTGGACATAATAATAGAGGTGGTTAATGCATTATTTATTTTAGAACAACCTCAAAAATTTTATCAGACGTTGATGATAATACACAAGAAATTTATGTTGAAAATTTTAGAATATCTTATCGAACATAGATGATAATACACAATGACTTCAGAAATGAAGTCATTGATAATACACAATGACTTCAGAATTCTGAAGTCATTGATAATACACAAGAAATTTATGTTACTGAAAACATTGATTCACCATCTGATATTAATAATTATGTTATTGGGGATGGGGACAGCCTTGCTCATCAGTCGAATATTAATATAATAGAAGGTAATAATCACTAAAAATACTACAGGCTTTTGTTGCCCAACTGAAATGTACTGAAAATTTTTATATATAAAAATGGTTGCGATTTTTATTTTAACCTTAATTTAAAGATGATTATTCAATCTAAAACTTAAAACTGGCTGCGCTCATATTTAAATAAATAAACCCTTATTCAGCAGTCAATAGTAAAATTATTTTATGGAATATCTGTATTCTTAAAACATTGTCACTAATATTAATTGTATATTATTTTTACTTATCTACAGCTCTCTAAATAAGGCACGTAAGTAACAGGAAATGGCAAGTCTACTAGTCTGCGTTGAATGTGTTAAGAGACCATGTTATTTTGGTAGTTTGCCGGGCGATTTTATACAATTTTTCATTGTTTTTTTTATATGTTATAATAGTTTAGAGGTGTCATTTTGGTGAATTGATATCAAGTATTCTTTGCTTTTTTACTGGCACGTTACAGTGCGAGTGTTTTTTTTTTGTGTTGTTTTTAACTCTGCTTTTGAGGTTATAACAAGCTTGCAGCATAAAAGGTGTTGTGTCCCAGATTGTAAATTAAATTTTGACTTTCTGTACTTAGTATCTAGCCGAATGTGATGTAGATGGCCCGGTTAAAATTTGTATTTCTGGATATGCATCAAATGTGATATCGAAAAAGATTTACTTGTGATATCTATAAAGAAAGCTTTCTTCCTATCAATATTTCGATTATTTACGACGTGGGGATAACATTTTTTTGTGTTCTTTAAAATTCAAAAAGAGATTTCCGTGGTGAATTTACGGTGAGAAGTATTTCCTTTCATCTTATTTAGATTTTTTTGAATACTTGTATATATGGGAGGCACAGCAACTATTTTTTATGTATGCTTTGTTCGGTATTTGCCAACACACTTTTATATAATTATGTGAAAACTCGGAAGAATCGTTCACTTACTGCATACTAGAACAAATATGCATGTAGAGAAAATGAGATTGATAATAAAATTAAAAAAAGAAAGTAAGATACATTTATGCAAACAAAATGAGTTTTAAATATCATTTTCCTGTAGCTTTTCGCCATTCCAGGGGCATGGTAGCTGAGTGGGTACTTATAGCTATTTGCTTGGTACCGAATATCGATGGTTCAAATCCATCTCGGAGCAAATTAGAAATTTTGTTTGTAATTTGTTTTGGCTTAAGATGGGAGAGGGAACTGTCAATGCCCTAGATGTGATTAGGACTCCACAATAAACTGTGGCGCCTCGTCTCTCTGTACTCACAAAATCCTAGGATTTTCTGGGAGTTACTTCGGTGACTTGAGAGCCGGTTAAGAAAACAAAGAAACAAAGTTCAATATTTTTTCCACATTTATCCAACCAAGACGGTGATCAAAAGTACCCATGATAATTTTAATAAAATAATATTCAACTTGTCGTTCCGTAATAGATTGGTTTTTTTTTGTTGAGAATTTATTTTTATTTATTTTATTTCGGTATTTTGTTTTTTTATTGAGAATTTATTTTAATTTTATTAATTATTCATTTCTAGAAAGAAATAAAATAATTATTATTGGGTATTACATAAGTATTCTTTCAAACCTAACATGATAATAATAATAATAAATACCTATAATTTTTTATGTTTTATACTGTAATTCTTATCTGAATGTGAATAATAAATCAAAAACAATACTTCCCATACATTTTGTCATAGAAACTATTAAAACAATTACTCAATCTAGGAGCAAGAATGGCATTGAATTAAATATTGAGATTAAAAAAATGTTGACTCGCCAAAAAGGAAAATTTTTAAGAAATGATTTCCTCCAGTTAGAATACAAAAAACGAAAACCCTTAGTCCGATATACATACTTTCAATCTTCCTAAACTCTTCAGGGGGCTAGAAGAATGAAAGTAGATCAATCATTTCTTAAGTGTAAAAATTTTTCATTTTGGTGTCAGTATTTTTTTAATCTCAATATGTTTTTGCTTCCGATACTAAAAACACTATGCACAGTGTATAATATACGAATATGTAGTATTTAAGTTCGTTTCTAATCCAAAAAATGGTAAGATTTACTCAATAAGTGAGTGTACTTTTTACAATATTGGATGGTGCTTGATTTTATACCAAAATGTGTAAATTTTCACAACACTTTTATACAATATTTTTAGTGGTAAATGTGAACACCGTTTAATTGTGAACTGTGTAACAATGGTGCCGTCGTTATGGTTTCTGAATAAACTGTAAAAAATGACTGAAAACTACGATGAATTTACAACAGGTATGTACACGCCGTGATTGTGAAAGACATTTAAATTCGGCCATCCATCAACGGAATATTGCCGGTTACAAAAGAGGAATTTTTTTATGATTCATGTGTCATTTTTTGTGCATGTAGTTTGTTTTAGAACGTAATCGACGATGCTGTGTTTAGAGGTTACTTTGCAAAATACGTTATCAGATTTCCTTTTTCTTAGTGGCCATGCATCGCGTAAAACATATGTGCGTATAAAAATGTTTTGGGGGAATATTCTAGAGGACGTGAAAGAGGGATACCGCGCTTGAATTCACCAAGAGAGGCGCCTAGTGTACGGAAAAGTCAATGTCACTGAATGTTAATGTTTACTATGGCTTTTTAATGCAAGTTTTTAGTAATTTTTATAAAAATTTGCTGAAAAACATTTAACACTGACGGTAGAAGGGGAAAGTAGTAATTTACTTGCTCAGTAGGGAAATTATTGTATTTATCAGAGGTGTCTTATGTCATTTAAGTTAGGTTATATCAAGATTGAGCATGATGAAAACGACGAATGTACATGATTATTATTCACGATTTTCTGTAGCAGACTCCTTTCGTAACGCATAATCGACAGGATTAAAATGTTTCTTAACAAACACACGAATGTTTCGGAGTAAAGTTATCGCTATCAACCACTGTTTTAGGTGAGTTTTGTTTCTCGGAAGCATATGTCCGCCTTTTCTTTTCAAACAAAATGGAACTGCACAACACTGAGGCATAATTAACAAGTTTTTTATTTACTAATTATAATAACACCCTATAAACTTTTCCCGCGTAGTGACCCTAAAAAACGTTAGCCCACAATAAAATTTTGCAAGCGACAAGTGGATGAAACAACTGACTTTTGGTGTAATAAGGTTGAGTAAGAATTTTGAGTGTTCAAAAGGCTTTGTTTCTATCAGACAGCAAAAGTCGGGCTATAAACAAACTAAAAAATGCGATACAAAACAATGTGAGAATTATTTGCGTGGTTTGTCCGTGCGTGCCCATGTGAACTATTTAGAATTTGCACCATTAACCTCGGTAGATGTGGAACGTTTATTTTCTTTGTACAAACATAATATGTACAGACCAAATCGCTCAAGTAGCTACGAATGCAGAACGAATATTAATTGTGATGTGACCATGTATGTTAATACGATGGCAGACTTCAGTCATTCTGAATAATACATTATATCAAGCGGTATGTATTTCATTATTCATTTTATACTTTTGCTTTTATTTGTCTATGTTGGTCCTTCTGTTAATCATATAAGACAGTTGTTTGTGATGAACATTCACGTATAGGGCAAATTTTAACTTAAACAGCGAACAACAGTAGTAGTAACTACCACATCTGGACTCCGGGCTAATTTCCTGACCCTGCTTTACTCCTTGTTGGTTTTGTCGAACATTGAAACATATGTTCGGTGTAACGAGGTATCAATCTAATTTACACAAAAAATTTCATATTTCATCGACTAAGGATAGAATCCTTGTTACTTCTGGTAACGCATTTTATATCTTTCGACTTTGAATGTTTCCTACACCTAAACAATTGAGGATAAACATATGCCCTTGCGGACTTTATTTTAGGAAATTTACTACAACTTTGTTCATGTACAATTTTTTTTATATCTGCCACTGTTTTCACAATGTTTCGATTCAAAGATTACCATGCACCTTTCTTTATTGTTGTGCTTAGCTTGAACAAGAATTCATCGGACCATGGCCAGGCCTCTTTACGGTGCTGCCATTTGTTACGTCGCTGCTTGTTTAGAGTTGGCTGAGCCACATCTATTACAACTACTATTGTGATTTAATTAAATAACCTCCTACTTCTAGTAAAAAATGTCTTTTCTGGGAGATCATACTAAATGGATAAGGTAGAAATTACTGGAAATGTAAAAATTTAATTATGTTCCTTTAAAATTAAATGTTTGCTTAGAATTTGACCATGATTTAACCTTTGTAAAATATTAGTTTTATTTAATTATAGATATGCCAACAACCGTAACTCGTAATAAAAGGAAGAAACAGATAAGTGAAAATACCGAAGAAGAAGAGGAGGAGGTGGACTCTGTCTTAGCTACAGTATTAAGAGCAGTTAGCAGCATTGCTGAAACTCCCAAGAAAAAAAATAAAGTGGAGAATTTTTCTAATTATTTACTCTCAGAATTGGAAGCATTTCCACCCGCAGATGCAGAAATTTTTATGGATGAGGTGGTTAACAGTTTAATAAAATTTAAGCAAGAGCTAAGAGAGAGGGACAATGTGTATTAGGATGTATATTTCATTTTAAATAAATATAAATTTAGTACGTAAAATCATTCACAAAAGTAACGTTTATTTTTTTATTAGTACAAAAAACAAATTAAGTGTTCTTTTATCTTATAACATTTTACAAAAGTAACTTTTCATATTAATAAAAATCAGTTTTGTTTGTAATTTGACGTACAAAATCGGCGTTGAAAATAAGACTTGTTTTCCTTTTTCATCATCATTAATAGAAAAAGTTTAAGAGTGATTTACAGTTTGTTGGATATTTGATAAAATAGCTGCCTTACAGCTGTATTATGTAACTATCTTATAAATTGTACCAGACTGTTAAAATATAAATTATAGCGGACCGTTAAAAATATGTTCTGAATTTTGTATTTTGTAGTGCCAAATTTTAGCGAAATTGTTATATGTTGAATTTTAGCGGACCTGCTGTATGAAGTTAGCATTTTATGCATGTCTGTGGTAGGTTCTTATATGTATGCAGTGGCCCCATCAGAAGAAAGAAGATATGAATAAAGTTAATCGCATGTTTAAGGTTAGTGCATTATTATTTTGTCATAAGAATTAGGGGAGAAGAGTGTAATACTGGATAAAGGGATTATTGTAGACAAAACCATTATTCTTTTATATAGACTTAAGGTGGATTTATGCAGACATACGTCAATTTATTATTGTTAATTTAAACAAAAATACTTATATCTTGTTAATTTAGCATGTCCACTATTCACCCAGGGGGTACTTATAGATGATGCATTAAACTCCTGTAATATGTGATTGGCTACACTATAAGATTATTGTGGACATGTTGTAAATGCTTACAATTCAAATCATTCAAATTTTGCTCAAAATTTTTTCATTTAACCAAGATATTAAATGACAAAATTATCATAGGTTCAAAATTATCTGTAAATTTAAAAGAGTCGATATTATTTCCAAAAATATTAAATATATATTTATTAACAATTAAAAATTTAATAATTGCACAAAAAACTCAAAAGGTATCTCTTATATAAATAAAAACATTTTCTGATAGTTTGTAACACATATAAATAGCTCCATATTGTCTGCTGTCTGCTTGGACCAGGTCTTTCCTCTGGTGTTTTAGTCTAGTTCACAAGTTAAAAACGGTGTTAATTACTGATAAAGGTCGTAAAAATATGGGCGATAGCTCATTGAATTCGGAATGACGTCTAAAAAAATGTATAAAAATTGTTTACCAGCACATAAAAAATTGCAAAGGTTATTAACAAATTAAGATAAAAAAAAAGGCATTTAGTTTTTCGCAAATAATTCAGAAACTATTAATAATTAGGAAATTCTTAAAGAGGACGAAATTTCCGATAAAAAAGCCCTAAGTCCCGGAACTGTACCTCCATTATTAATAATTTTAATTCAATGGTGAAAATAGTGCTCCGCGCGGCAAACGCGACGCTGCCGCAGACCTCAGAATCCGACCGTAGCAAGAAAAAAAATTTTTTTTAGCTATAAAATAATTAAAAAATTTCAAAAAATTATTGGATCATCTAGACATTCCAAGGAATAATATCCACTCAAAAAAATCCATGATAGCGTTACTTCATTCTTAGCATTTTATTTTAAT